TGTAATCCAATTGTTTTCAGCGTTGTTGACGCTTTTGGTTTCGCTCTTACGTGCGCGATAGACGTTTTTTCTATGTAAATTCGTGACTTTACGGCGAAACGGGATTTTTAATACGAAATAAAATAGAATGTTGTTGCATGAACGGTTTCAATAGGCTGATGCAATTTCATCTTGCACTCTGCTGAAGATTTTCTGAGAGACGCGTAATTATCCACGATATCGTTGTACAATTTCTGGCAAAAATTATTCAGTCTTTCAAAATGCAATTACGGTTCGTTCTGGCCATCGCTGTAATCCAATTGTTTTCAGCGTTGTTGACGCTTTTGGTTTCGCTCTTACGTGCGCGATAGACGTTTTTTCTATGTAAATTCGTGACTTTACGGCGAAACGGGATTTTTAATACGAAATAAAATAGAATGTTGTTGCATGAACGGTTTCAATAGGCTGATGCAATTTCATCTTGCACTCTGGTGAAGATTTTCTGAGAGACGCGAAAGTATCCACGATATCGTACAATCTCTGGAAAAATTTATTCGTCCACTTTTCAAAATGCGATCACTTTTTTCAATCTGGTCTAATTGACTTGGATCTTTTTTTTCAGTTTACGGTACAATAATCAGCATTTTTTAAATTTTGCTGTTACATAAAATGACAATAGAAGGTAAGAAGTACTCGTTTTCCAACCTTTTTAATTTGAGCCTGAAACGAAAATTTAAAAAATGTGTTTCGTAGACGCGTTATTTAAATTTTCGTTCCAGGTTCAGATAAAACAGTTTAAAAACGAGCGTTCTTTATCTTTGTGTTGTTTCATTTTATGCAATAGCAGAATTGAAACAGTCAAGACGCTTGAACACTTAACAAGAGATTCAAGTCGACTGGACCAGTGTGAAAAAAGTTATCGCGTTTTAAAAGGTGATCGAATACTTTTAGTATTAAGTGTTAGCAATATTTAAGTAAAATTACAACGTAATAAACTGTCGCAGAAACCGCATTCTTTTCGAGGAACGACGGTTCCCAAAATTTTGGAAAAATCCGATCGATTTTAACCCTTCGCACTCGACGCTATTTTAACTCGAAATCCAAAATAGTTTCTCTGACCTACAGAGTATTTCCATTTTGTATAAACCTAGTGTATTTTATACATTTGAAATTGAATTTTGTGATTACACTTTGCACAGTTTATATTTTTAAATATAAACAGATTTGACAATGTTGACATTATTTTGAAACGAGATGTAACAATTTTTAACGACGCCTTAGAGTCGCCACTCGAGTGCATAGTTAAAGGGTTAAACGAAATGTTTGTCGTTCCTTCGTAACGAAAATCATTTCAGAACTATTATACGAACACGTTCGAAGAGATTTCGGCGGTGTCGGAAAGCTAGCTTCGCGTTCCTAGATATCATAATCAAATTGTTGACTCAGTTCGCGAGACTCGTAGTCGTCGCGAAGATGCGAACGTAGTATAATAAATCCATGCGAAAGCTCTCACCTGGTTAAGTCGTCCAAATTCATGACGCTGGGGTAGCAAAGGAAGATGACGAGATCCGACTCCGGTATGTACAACATTTGTCCCTGGAAAAGTGACAAACACCGCCGTGACAACGAAACACCCTTAATCCGCGAGTGCGGCAACGAATTACATACGTATGTATGCACGTGTGCGCGTTGCAGCGCTGGATTTCTACTAACTTTTAGGCGCAGATACGGATGCTTCTTGGACGTGTTCACTCGTGTCACTCCGTCCTTCGTTCGCAGCACGTACACCGTGTTTATGTGCGACAATATGTTCTCGAATGTTAGCTCTAAGTGTGGTCGGACCTATGAAAAACAGAAAACTGCGAGTACTTTTTACGTGCGCGCGTGTAACCATGCTCCATCGACTCTCGTTTAACAACAACATCAAACCCGCGGTGTAAGAAAAGCGAACGATAGTTTTACTTCCTACTCACGCCTCTGAAAAAGTAATAAAATCAACGGATCCCTGCGACACATCCGGAGAAAAATGATGGAAGAATAAAAATGTATTACAACCATAAGCCTTGGCGTGAAGTATTCGAACGGCTTTCGAGACGCAGTAACTTTTCTAAAAGTGGGCCAAATGACAGAAATTTTTGGTAAACGTTCAAGGACTAAAATACGTCTTTTTTCATTCTGATATTACTTGGAATGACAAGAAAATTGTTTGCGATTTTTCTATGAGCTTCACTTGGTTGTAACTTAGAACAACGTTAACCGATTTGGGTGAAATAATCGGTGTGCATAGAAGTCATCAAGATCTATGCATTTTTCAAATTTTCGTTCCAGAATTGTTAAAAAACGAGAGCTTCTTATTTCAACTTTGTCATTCCAAGTAATAACGAGATTGAAACAAAAGTATTTCCTAAAAAAATTATTGCGTTTTAAATGGTGCTCGAATACTTTTTGCCAGATTGTAGTACTTTTTGCAGCTGAAAATTGTCAGATTAGTAGCAAAGAGAGTATAAAATGTTCTTACGAAGTAACGAAATACAGTAATTTCTCTCTAATTAGCGCTCAGAATGCGCACAAAAATCGCCATTTTTCGAAGAGGAGACACGATTATTCTCGCCTTGCACCTCGTTTCCACAGTCGTCGACAATCGTCAACTATAAAAACGAGACACGAGGCTTAAATAATCGTGTCTTCTCTTCTGAAATTGTCCATTTTTGTGCGCAATTCGAATTAGGGAATTAGGGAGAAATCGCTGTAAAAATGATCGAAGCGATTTTCAAATAGAATTTCCATTTGAAAGTATCACCGCGAGGATCAATTTTTGGCAACAGTTCCCAGACGATCCCGACTCGACTGTTCGCTGCATCATGATTTGAGCCGTCTATTTTGAAAGTGGCATAAGTCACTTTGTTTTTAAGTCGATATATTTAAGGGTTTGCGTTTTAACAGGTTTAAAAATAAGGATGCTAACTTTCGAGAAGATTTACTTGTATTTGTTATCTCGGGATACTGATATTTTATAATAATAATTATATAATATAACTATATATAACTACATATAATAATATATAACTATATATAACTATATATAACTATATATAACTACATATAATAATATATAACTATATATAACTATATATAACTATATATAACTATATATAACTATATATATAACTATATATAACTATGTATAACTATATATAACTATATAAATAATTTCGTATAAACATTAAAAAATCACCATTTTTCGTTACGGTAAAGTGACTTATGCCACTTTCTGAAAATAAACGGCTCATTTATCGGAGCGCGAGAACGGGCGCTCGATGTCTCGCTCAGCATCCGAATTTGTCAGCAAGACGTCGCCACATAATAATGCGGCGGGAACAAGATCGTCCCGCGGTGGCTGGAGATCGCGGATTCCTTGAGCTAGAGACAATGGGAATCCGGCTATGGCGGAGGGATAACAACGACGGCCGGATAATTGATTACGCTCGCGGCCGTATGCACCGGCGACTATGCAAATGCCGTTAAACGATGCCGCTGCAACGGTGCGTGTCACATCGTTTGAAACAAACCGCGTTTGAAAGATATATGATCGCGCGCGCGTACGAATCCGCACGAATTATAGCCAGCCGTTGGCCACGACCTGCCCGAACAATAACGTAATTTCGCGGCGGCCGCTAATTAACGCGGCGTTTAGCGAAATAAAACGCGGTTATCGATCCGTCCACCATCGTTACGTCCGCGGGAACGTTTGACACCGACCCGCTTTACGACGGCCCCGACTAATTTTTCGTCATTATCTCATCGCGAATGCACAGGGTGCACCGCTTAACTCCGGCAACGCGGGCGTCTCGCTTTTTTATCGGCGGCGGAGAAGAAGGTCGGAGGGAAACAATTACGTTTAAAGGGACGAGTATTTAAAAACTTCGAGACCGATCATCCCTTCAACTTTTCCGCCAAGTGAATCGAGCGCTCAATTTGAAAGTCGAGTTTTAAACCGAATTAGATTCTCGTTTAATTCTTCGCGGATTTCATTTCTCGGCTTAATCCGTTGCGCTCTAACGAGTCGGACTCGCTATGAAGATTTCATACGTAATCCAACAAATACGAATGTTATTCTTTTTTTTTTAGATTGTAACAAGATTTGATTTTTCTGTTATAAAAACACGAGGAATGAAAGTAAACGAAGACATATAAGGAACGAAATTACTCTTCTTCCATCAGGAAAATTGTTGCATAAGCAGTTAATCTCTCACGATCAGAGTCTATTACATTTAGGCGTGTTAATCGTCTATTTTAAAACGAAATAAGATTTAATTTGTCCGCTAGAAATACTTGATTGTTAAAGTTAACGTGAACATGTAATATATGTAAATTTATCCGCTTCTAAAAGAATCGATTAACAACTAAAAAATTAGAAGTAGTGCAGAAGTAAAAAAAAACGATAGCTAAAATGAACATGAAAAATTGGAGCAGCGTATAGCCTGATTGCGTTCACTGTACCGAACGTTCGAAATGGAGGCGAATCAACGAGGCTAAACGTGCACACCGATTCGGAGAATTACCTATCGCGTCCAATGATCGAAAAAAATGATCAAAATATCGCGAAAAAATGACAGAGAAGCAAACTCACTGTCCAAAGGATGTCGTTCAGCTTGCAATTACCGGAGCACACTTGGGGGATGACGCGGGTGATGGTGCATCCGGTCTGAACGATGTCGAGGTCCCTGTTGAACATCAGATGGAATGGGAAAACTTGGCAGAACGTCATGGGGCTCACTTTCGGTTCTGCGGGAAATTCCGTAACAAAGTTTCAGCGAACGCACCCGACGACTGTCCACCTGGTAATTGTTGTCGCGCGCGAAGTCAGCGTATACAGTAATTTCTCCCAGAAAAGTTCGGACGTCGGAATTGAAACCGGCAGATCTGAGAATACTAAGCCGCGATTCTTCGAACCACGCGGCTCGTTTTTATGGAAATTCGGGGCAGTCGGCAAAAAAAGGCAGTGGCTAGCATGATGGTGTACATTAATATGAATACAAAGAATGATAGAGTAAAAATGACCACTTAACTTTTTTGTTTTTAATCTTTTGCCACGATTCGAAGGCAATTCGGAGGCCATGTGACACGATTCGAAGGCGATTTGGAGGCCACGTGACGCGATTCGGAGGCAATTCGGAGGCCGCGTGACATAATTCGAAGGCAATTCGGAGGCCATGTGACACGATTCGAAGGCGATTTGGAGGCCACGTGACGCGATTCGAAGGCAATTCGGAGGCCGCGTGACATAATTCGAAGGCAATTCGGAGGCCATGTGACACGATTCGAAGGCGATTTGGAGGCCACGTGACGCGATTCGAAGGCAATTCGGAGGCCGCGTGACATAATTCGAAGACAATTCGGAGGCCATGCGACGCGATTCGAAGGCAATTCGGAGGCCACAAGCCACGATTCGAATGCAATTCGAAGGCAATTCGGAGGCCACAAGCCACGATTCGAATGCAATTCGAAGGCAATTTGGAGGCCACATGATACGATTCGAAGACAATTCCGAAACAATATGTCACGATTTGAAGGCAATTAGGAGACCACAAGCTACGATTCAAAGGAAATTCCGAGGCCACATGATACGATTCGAAGGCAATTTGGAGGTCACAAGCCACGATTCAAATGCAATTCGAAGGCAATTCCGAGGCCACATGACACGCGATTCGAAGGAAATTCCGAGGCCACATGACACGCGATTCGAAGGCAATTCGGTGGCTACATGACACGATTTGAAGGCAATTCGGAGGCCACAAGCCACGATTCGAATGCAATTCGAATGCAATTCGCAGGCTACATGATACGATTCGAAGGCAATTCCGAAGCAACATGTCACAATTTGAAGGCAATTTGGAGACCGCAAGCTACGATTCGAAGGAAATTCGTACCACGTACCTCGTATCTCCGCGATTTTTCTCACCTGACTCACACCCGAGCAAACTTTACCATCGACGTAGCAATAAATTACACAAGCGTAGCACCAGCACAAGAAAATCCCCAGGAACCCAAAATTTAGCATTTCCGTGAGAAATTTCTGTAAACCGACTTTCCGCCGCGAACACCTGCCGTCGATCCGTCGAGATCGAACGATCTTGCGGATAACGAATGCTGGACGGCGCACTCACCCACGGACAAAGTCTCCAGCTCGGCGATCATGGGATTCGAGACGACGCCGGAGCCGGATGTGTTCGTTATCATGAATTGCACGTGGTCACACTCGTTTTTCGTCTTCAGTATCCGCATCTCTATGTCCGTGTTGTGCAGCTTTTCCGCCACCGCCTGCGCCATGGTAAAAGTTTGAAACTTCGTTTAATCAAGGCCGGCTCGCTTACGCCCGGGAGGATTCGCCAAATTGAAAATTAAACCGACGAATAGTGTAACTATCAATCTCGTGATTCAACTGCGTGCCGGCCAAGCGGCGACGCGGGTTGATCGAGAAGTTTCGCCGCTCGGACATTCGCTACCTTAGTTTCGGAGTTTCCGCGCACCGACGGTAATCCGTTATGATTTCGTTCGGTCCGATTCTCCGAGCGAAAAGCGTTCACAGATCCGTCGATGGTCGTCGAAAGTACGTGACGTGATTTTGATTGAAGAATCACAATTTGCAGCGGCGTGTAACAGCGAATCGTTTCGAGCGAGCGAGCGAACGAACGAACGAACGAAGCGTAAGTCGAAAGATGCAATGAAATTTCGTTGCAGCGTGCGTGTAGGATTAACGATCGAATATCAAACTTCGGGAAAGTGGAACGGTATTGCCGGGGAAACGATTTGTTGTTGATCAATCGACGTGTCCGCTGATAAAGTGCATTTAGACGTTGCATATTTCATGAGCGCCCGATGGAAAAATCTGCAACAGAGACGGCTGAAAATTCGCATAGCGTTACATTGAATAATGAACTGTTCACCTGCAAAAACTCAATTCATTCTCTTTAAAGCAAAAAAAAAGAAAAAACAGGAAGAAAAAAAACAACAACACCGTACGCCGCGGCGATCAACTCGATATTTCACGGCACGCGATGCCGCTGCAGCTATGAAAAATAATACCATTAACACTGTGTTCGAACGCTGCGGGCGTGAATCGGTCAATTTCACATAGATGGGTTTATTAATTCTATCGAGGAGCTGCATCCGGTCTGTCTCCGATGAAACTCGGAGCATGCAGCAGATATTTATTGGGCAAGGTAATCTGTTTCGAGGCGTCGTATAAATCATAATCTCTTTCTCTCTGTGCGTTACCCCGGAGAAACAGAAAAACTCTGTTAATTAAATCCCTCGATTGGACTTTATCTCCCGCTTAATCTGCAACGCCAACATCCGTCTTCCGTGCCGTGGCTCGATTCGAATAAAAATTGCTTCGGTTTATGCCATGGGAACAATGCTAATAAACCGTGGCAGATCAACGAGAAATGAACGGCCGATTTAACTTTGCCATCGTTTAGCTTCATCGCGGAGTGCTTATTATCGAGTGCCTTATTGACGACTTAACCAGTTAGCTGTGATCGACGAGTGTACTCGTCGCCGCTCAATTTTCGCGATACAGTAATGTCTCTCTAATTGACGCTCAGATTGTCCAGCAACGTCGATTATTAAACATCCTAATTTTACGCATTCATGAGCATTAGGCGAATTATTACGTCAGAAATGCACTTTGTACAGAACTTTAGGAAGACGTGTAATATTTTCGAAATGCAATGATGTCTCTCTAATTGACGCTCAGATTGTCCACGAGAGTGGACAATTTTAGAAGAGGAGAAACGATTGTACCAGCCTTGTGACTCGTTTTTTATGGTTGTCGATTGTCAGCAACTATAAAAACGAGCTGCAAGTCTCGATCAATCGTATCTCCTCTTCTCAAATTGTCCATTTTTAGTGCGCAATTTCGGCGTCAATTAGAGAGACATTACTGTACACAGCTAACTGGTTCAACGAGACGTATTTACAGTCATTTGAAACATTTTAATGAACGCAATGCTAAAACAGAGGCGACGATACGTTTAATCAAGCGTTCGATAAGATAATGCAATCTTTACATGCATCGTATATTTTTTAGCATTATTTTTCATAGAAACGTATCGAAACGTATATGCGCTCAGCCGATCCATTTCGCGAGGATCTTCGAAGGGACTCTGAAAGCGTTCGGGGATCCTCGGTAGTTTGCCATTTAACGGAGCAAGCCTCGTGGATTTCGGTAACCATGCTGCACTACGGTTTCGCCAAAAATACCTTAACGATGCCGATGACGATGTGCTCCAAACCAGGTCGGTCAGAGTAATAATGTAATATGAGCGCCCCGTCTTCTGGCCTCTCGGTGCATCGGAAGGAGGGCGCCCTCATTCCCGGGTACAAAGTGCCTAAATGGTCGTGAAGGGCGTCCAAATTCTGCAATTAAGCGACACCAGGTTTCTCGTCAGGCCGGCAGCCCGTGAAAGATTATGGGAAAATGGATTTCCTTTCGGGTCAGGGAAAGGGCGGACACGCCATCGCTTTCACACGATCGAATTTTCTATATCGTCGGCCCTCGGCCGTCGGCTGGGGACGGGGACGGAGGGGGTAATTGCACGGTATAATATCTGTCAGCTGGTATCAATTCCGGCGCGACTATCAATGTCAATTACGACGGATCGATACACGCGGCGTGCGACCCGTCGGCGTAGGCGTGACGGCTTTCAATTTTTCGACGGGGCCCGAGGGAGGTGAAGGGAGAAAGAGAGAGAGAGAGAGCGTCAGAGAGCGAAAGAGAGCACGAGAAAGCGAGAGAGTAAGAGAGTGCAAGAAAGAGCGCGAGAGAGAGCGAGAATAAGGGAGCGCGAGAGAGAGCGCGAGAGTGAGAGAGCGCGAGAGTAAGAGAGCGAGAGAGAGCGAGAATAAGAGAGCGCGAGAGAGAGAGCGCGAGAGTGAGAGAGCGCGAGAGTAAGAGAGCGAGAGAGAGCGAGAATAAGAGAGCGCGAGAGAGAGAGCGCGAGAGTGAGAGAGCGCGAGAGTAAGAGAGCGAGAGAGAGCGAGAATAAGAGAGCGCGAGAGAGAGAGCGCGAGAGTGAGAGAGCGCGAGAGTAAGAGAGCGAGAGAGAGCGCGAGAGTAAGAGAGCGAGAGAGAGCGCGAGAGTAAGAGAGCGTAAGAGAGAGAGAGAGAGCGAGAGAGAGAACGCGAAAGAGCGAGAGAACGCGAAAGAGCGAGAGAGCGCGAGAAAGAGAGCGAGAGAGAGAGCGCGCGAGAGAGCGCGAGAGACAGAGAGAGGGAAACGAATCACAGGGTAACAGTTTGCGCCCGACACCGGTACCGGAAATGAAACCTCGCGAAGAAAAACGGCACGATAATAATCTCGTTCTGCGACGGCATTCCGCTGCTCGCTAATCGCATTGCGCGCATTCATTGGCATCTTCGTGTTTCTTCTTGCGCGCTCGGTCTCGTTCGCCCTTTGCAGATTTCAGCGTCGAACACCGGAACGAGTTTACTCGCCCCTTTCTTGCCCGGTTCCCCCCCGCAGCGGCGGTCATTAATTCGAGCCGAGGAACTTTCGTGCGAGCTCTTTTCACCCGGTAATGTATTCGTCCTCTCTTCGTAAGAGGGTTGCAGCGTTTAGAATATTAATTTTCCGACTTTATTTCGCGCCGTTGCACGTTTCGCGAGTGTAACTCTGTGGACGGAGGCAGCCGTTGTTCAGCGCGAGGTTTACGGAAGTCTGAGCTTGAAGAACGTGGGAAATTCGTTTTTGTCTGTTGTAAAATTTATGTAAAATCTACTTCGTGTATTTTGTAAATTTTACTTAACTCTTTAAATATAATATTTATTTAATATATTTATTTGATATATATAATATTATAATTATATATAATTATAATAGTACATAATTATAATGATATATATAATTATAATAATATATAATTATAATGAAATATAATTATTTGTTTAATATATTAAATAAAATCGGATATTCTGATTGATTGTTAATATTGGATACATTAAAGACTATGGAATATAATTAGATAAGGAATTTTTTTTAACGTCGCCTCTATATTCTAGAATAATATTACTTTTCACTGAACACACTAAAAGCGTTTGACGTGTCTTATTTTATAAGAACGACAAGACTGATTGTATATAGACAATTTATCATTTTTATTATAATGTATAATTGTATTAAAAGACCTATCGAATCATTTCCCATAAAGGAAGGGAACGTACAACATTAACAATGTTAAAATAAAAAACGTGAAGCCGGTCAAAATAGTCGTTATGGTAGTTTTAGAATTAAAAATTCTTCCAAAAATTTCTTCTCTGCTTAATACATTTATATTATACAAAAATTTTCGAGGTTTACCATTGTCACATTCTAAACAACCTAAATTTACTCTACCAACTCGATTAAACAAATTGGCTAGATTCAACGCGAATTTTACGAACGCCGGTCAACGAATTCGACTCGTATTTCGTTCGAACGGAACCGCGCGGTCTCGGCTGAAAAACAAATCGAAAGGCGTCTAATATGAAACAGCCGTGCACGCAGTGTCTTCCGAACGAACTATAGCAATCAATCGAGCAGGTTCGACGACGACCATTAATCCCGCTGAAAGGATTGGAACGCGTTCTTTGGCCGGCTGAAAAAGGTGTAATAATCCATCAATCATGGACAGGAAAATTCTGGCGATAATTCCGTGGCCGTATTCCGCGCGCGCAAACGAGTTTACAAGCTTTTTGTCCAATTACTCAGCGGCTCGTTGCCGCAATCGCGGACTGGTCCGGCGTGTTTCCCTGGAACGGGTCGTGTCCCGGGTTTAGAAATGCATCTGCGGCCGCGGAATGCGCGAATGAACATTCCGCGGGGTACGCAGGTGCACGTGCGCCTTCTTCGAGGCCGAGCTCTCGATGACGCTGCCTCCCAGGCCAGAATCGTCGACACGATCATGAAAACAAATCGTGATAGAACCGAATGGAACCGAAAGGAACCGAATGGAACCAAATGGGACTGAATGGAACCGAAAGGAACTAAATGGGACCGAATGGAACCAAATGGGACTGAATGGAACCGAAAGGAACTAAATGGGACCGAATGGAACCAAATGGGACTGAATGGAACCGAATGGAACCGAATGGAATCGAATGGAATCGAATAGAACCAATTGAAACCGAATAGAGCCGAATAGAACCGAATGGAACCAATTGGAACCGAATGGAACCGAATTGAATCGAATGGAACCAATTGAAACCAATTGGAACCGAATGGAACCAAATGGAACCGAATGGGACCGTATAGAACCGAATGGGACCGAATGGAACCGAAAGGAACCAAATGGGACCGAATGGAACCAAATTGGTCTGAATGGAACCGAATGGAATCGAATGGAACCGAATGGAACCAATTGGAACTAATTGGAACCGAATAGAACCGAATAGGACCGAATGGAACCGATTGAAACCGAAAGGAACCGCATGGAACCGAATGGAACCAATTGGAACCAATTGGAACCAAATGGAACCGAATGGAACCGAATGGAATCGAAATTCCACCGTGAACACCGGTCAATCGCGAAACGACTCGTGACGCTCTCTGCCCACGTGTCATCCTTTCTGGCAACTTTCACTTGGTCCGCGAGCAAACGGATTCGATGGAATCCCGGGAGTCGGTCACCGGGCGATCCGTAGCCCGAGGGAATTTCGCGAGGGTCGGCCAGAAACTAACGATCCGATGCCTGCGAAAAAATGCGCACGGAATTCTTCGGAGCGTGGTGTTTACCGTACGCATACAGTCGGCTGAGAAAGTCGGCGCGCATCCTTTGGAACTGAATAACTTTCGTAAGACCGATTCGAATGGGCGTTAATGAGATTAGTTCGGTAGCTGATTAGAGATTCCGCCGGAATCGCGACCTTCTGACCGGGAATTTCATGAAATACGTCTTGCGGAATCAAAAAGTTTGTTGCAGAATGCGTCGATGAATTTTCTTGAAACTCGAAACGAGCGGACATCGAATTGTATAAAAATTGTTAAATTTGTTAGTCATGGGTAGTACGCGGAGAAATTGCGGTGCGAACAATTTTTAACTATTTGTGGCTCGTAGCGACGTTCCTCTGTGTTGTTAATTATTTTGGTTTAGATAAAAATACCGAAAGAAATGAATTAACCCTTTGCACTCGAGCGGCGACTCTGAGGCGACGTTAAAAATTGCTACGCTATTTCCAAAAGAATTTCCACGTTATTAAAATTTTGATGCATTGTCAAATAATAGAAGTAATAACTTACAATATAAGTAAATATATATATATGACACATATGAAATAGAATTTAAATAAAAATAGCATAAGTTATACTGTAAGTTATTATATTTAATATAGTTATAATATAATAATATAATATATTATTTATATATATATTTATATTATAATATATTATTATAATATATATTATAATATTATATAATAATATAATATAATATAGTTATTATATATAATTTTATTTAAACTCTATTTCATATGTGTCAAATAAAAGCAATCATACCAAATGGTAATACTGTAGGTTGAAACAAACGTCTTCATTCTCGCGTTAAAATAGTCTCGAGTGCCAAGGGTTAAAAGAAAAATACAATAGCTATACATTAGTAGTGGCACCGATCACAATTTTTCAGGTATCTTCTCCTAAAATCTCCAGTCTACAATTCTTCGAACTTTTAAAAACCTTTTTAATCCTCGTCGAAAATCACGACACGTCGCAATTGTAAACAATTCATTCCACTTCAAAAAAATTGTCTAAATACTTAAAAGTCTGCACGCCAAATGGTCAAGCATTTGATGAAATTTTAGCACGTCCAGCGCCGACAATCGAAATTCAAAATTCTCACGAAATCAAAGCAATTTAACCAATTAAATCGAAACTAGAAAGTTAACGTTTATCACAGAGTATGACATTAGAACTGTTTCGCGTGCGAAACGTCCCAGTCGAATTCAGTTCGCTCGAATATATTACAGTGAAAATGAACTCTCAAAATTGCTGAAAAAAATAGTGTCGGCGCTCGACGTGTTAAACAAGTTATTCCACTTTAAACAGTGTCTAAATATTAAAAAATCTACGAATGGAGAATCCAGCAATGTACGAAAGAACTTTTGCAAGAGAAATAGTGGTCCACGATAAAGGGTACACGAATTTACCTGCAAAAAGTCCCAGGGCGTTGCCCCGAGCACCTGCAGGATCTTGTCATAGCCGGAGTCCTGGCAGAACTCGAAGAACATTCGGCCAAACTGCTCGAGGATCTCGTTGGCCGGCATATCTGGAACACGGTTCTCTCGTTACTCTGTGGCTCCGAATTTCGCGTTCACCAATTCGATTTCGAACGGTTCGACTTAATGGGGAAATCGCTGAATGGCTGTCGAGTGTCGCTTAAACTGGATCGCGGCGGGCCGATTGGGGAGGGGGGCAGGGGGCCGGGTCGCAATTTTAACGAGCAACGTTCGAAGTTCAAACGGTAACTCAATTCGACGAGGCCTTGTGTGGCCTGAGTCGGTTAGATTGTTCTCTGGATCAATCGCCGATCACCAGCTATTCGGGGTAAACAGAAATTGCGCGTTCCATCTTGTTGCAATCTCACGGAGGAATCTCGCACAGCGCGCTCTAAAATGGGAGACCGATCGATGGTCTTCTTTCGTAAAGAAGAATAAATCATGTGCGACCAATCGGTTTGACAATTTTTAGCGTGAATTACTGACGAGGTTTGAACGTCAACAGAACCAATTACTGCGAACCATTATCGCCAGAGAGTCAATTGACCCCTTGGAGTGCTTTGACGAATCCGATTCGTGACGGAGATTTTTAGGAATAACTCGTTAACACAACGTTTTAAGATAACTCGTTATCATTTTTTTTTGACTGCTCGTGAAATTCCGGAGAACTAGAAGTAGGCAAAACTTAACCATTTGCACTCGAAGCTATTTTAACTGTAAATATAAAATCATTTCTCTAACTTATAGTATTTCTATTATACGCGACAAAAAATGCATTTTATGCGCACGAAATTGGCTGTTAGGACTCGCGCAATAATTGCACTCTTGGCAATCTTTTAAATCTAAACTTTGTTAATATAATAATTATCTTGAAACGTGATGTAAGAAATTTTAGTGGTGCCATAGAGTCACCACTCGAGAGCAAAGGGTTAATAAAACAACCGAATAGTCGAAGCTTTAATTTTTGTATGGAAAATAAGAACCTCTCTTCTTAACAAGCCCTATCGTATTAAGTATAAATATCATTCCATTCTTTACAGACTATAAAAATGAGCCGCCTGGCTCCAATCCCAAATTGTCCACTTTTGTTAACCCTTTCTGTTAATAGAGTGACATTTTCCTTCGCTCTGTGTACCAGTTGGAAAAAACCGAAATAGAAGGTGCGTTGTTCGCGGTGCAAACGACAAAAGACGCGAGTCTAGATACGAATGCAAAAATTGTAACGTAGGCCTCTGCGTTGACCATTGTTTTAGAATTTACCATACCGAATGAAATTACTAAGAATTATAATTTGATGTCTAACCACCTCAAATTCTATTTTTACTTGTAACAATAGCAAAATTTCTAAATATGTAGATAACTCAACCCTTTGCACTCGAGTGGCGACTCTGAGGCGCCACTAAAATTGTTACATCACGTTCCAAGATGATATTTAAATTATCGAAGCTTTGATATAAAAAGATTGTTCAAAGTCTAACTGTCGTACGAGTCACAAGACTCAATTTCATACGCATGAAATGCACTTTGTCGTATAAAATGGAAATACTATAAGTCGGAAAAGTTAATTTAGATTTACAGTTGAAATTGCTTCGAGTGCAAAGGGTTAATATTCATACGATATACTCATTTTCATGTTTTTCATATAATACGATGAAACAGTTGTTACGTAGCTCTTAAAAAAGTGTACATACAAGACGATCGCAAAGTGGCGTTGAAAGACGTAAGACCGATCATCGAAGACTACCGACGTGCAAAGTGCACGCTTCGCGGCGCGGTGCCCCGTTCAGTGTCGTCACTCCAGCGGAGCAGGTTGCCGTACGGAAAGGGTTAACAAGCTGAGTGTACTGTACAGTAAATCCTCTCCAATTGTCCCTCAGCTTGCAACCAAAAATGGACAATTCGGGAAGAGGCGATGCGATTATTCGAGCCTCGCGGCTCGTTTTCATAGTTGTCGACAATCGGCGACTGCAAAAACGAGTCGCGAGGCTCGAACAATCGCATCCCCTCTCCCCGAATTTCACAATTGCCGTTTGCAAGCTGAAGAACAACCGGAAAGAATTGATTGCACTCGCAAAGCCGAATAACATACACCAGCAAGTGGTCGCCGAAAACGTCGACATTGTTCGTTTCGAACGTTTGTTTGACCGTTCCGTGGTACAGGGTTCGCCCCAAAAAGTGAGCACACGTTACGAAAGTCACAAACAGAACGATCAAACGCGACGGTGAAGAAGGGTCGGGGGGTATAAGAGAATCGCGTTTCGAGAGCAGCTGCCGCTACGTCGGATACGCTGAAAGGACTTTTTCGGCGCCGAGGTCGCCTCGTTCGCGGATAAAGGCAGTAAAGAAGGTAAAAAAGGGTTGGCGAAACGGGCAGGAAAAAAGGAATCGCATTTCGAGGCAGGCTCTGGTAGCCTACTCTGCGAGAAGCTCCGCGGGTCGGACGGCAGCGGCGCTTAGCGTTAGGTCGCCGGATCCGTAGAATGGTTTCTTCTTCTCCGAGGTCACCGAGGTTGGGCTAATAAAAAAAAGAGCCGAACGATGAATGGTGGGGGACGAAAAGTAAGAGGGATCGAGGAAAGACGAGATCCGGTGGCTTGGTCAACTATAGAGGCTGAATCAATTGGTCTCCGGGAGTCGATTCCCCGACTGCGAATCTTGTAAGAGGAGATTGCTACTTTTGCATTCCTTTTACCTTATTGTTTGAGGAACGGGGGAAAACGGATGTCTGGCAATCTTGCCATTTTCTTTCAGCGGGGCAAAAGACGGGTCGGGCAAGCGCAGAATAAATGGAGGAACGACGGAGAACGGTATCGGTTTAATTACTCTGGAAGAGCGGTTCACCATCGCCGGTGAGAGCGTTCGACGAGCATTCGACGAGCGGTCGAGCAGAAATGAAGAAGCCCACATACCGAGCAGTTTCGCGGCCGCCGATATAATGTTGTACGTGATCTCGTCGTCGTAGATCTGCCGCACCAGGAATTGGCCCTCCATATTAACCGCCGCATCTTTCCTGGATCAAGAAAATATGAATAAACATTGCGTGGAAATTGAGACGATTACGCCGGCCGCGGTATCGCGGCGACTGGACCATGGACTCGTTTGCAAGTCTAGCAGCCGGATAATTCATAAAGCTTATTAGCGGCACGCTTTAGAAAGCTGGGGGACTTTTGGTGCGTGGACAACAATATGCATCGAGGATCGGATTGGAAAAGATACTAAGTGGACGGGATGATACGAACGCGAGCTATCCGTGCATGTTGCTGCAGTTTCGACAAGATGTTAGAAAACGGTAGAAAAATATAAAAAAGCATGCGAGACATTCGATTTCTCTATTTGCGACTGTTCTTAGATCCTGTACATACAAAAATACGGGTTAATAAGATTTTACTCTGGAGATGATAGTAACATGAGGCACCCATTACTCGTATTTTTGTAATGGGTGCCTCGTGTTAGTATCGTCTCCAGCGAAATTAAAAAAGGAAAATAGTAAATAAACGAACTTTATGCAGTCGCATAAGCATGCAATCATTAGATTGAAATTCTCACTCGTAGAAATCAATTTATCAGAGTTGAAAATCTTATCCAATTAAGAACATTTCTTTCTTCGCTAATGAAATACGGCTTCGAAAGTGTTAACGCGTTGGTCGGTGGCTTCTGCGAGAGTGTAATACAATTATTCATCGAATTAAAGAGGCTGTTGGCGATAATTAAAATTGATTGCTTCGATATTCGACCCTTCATTGCAGAATAAAGATAATTACGAATTCGCGGCTTTGTCATGATAATTAGAAGAAGTCTTGGTTACGCCATCCGGCAGCGACAGGGATCGCTGTCGAACATTTTTCATACAAACGATTTATTATACTTTCAAAAGGCTTCTTTACGCTCTTATGCTAATGGCAGCCAGTGTTTCGCGCGCTGTCCGCCGGCGGGACGAGGCGAAAAGGCGGCGTTAAGAGGGATCGTGATTGCGCAATTATCGAAAGGTTTGTCGATCCCGGCCGAGTTGTTTTGATTGGCGTGATTGTGTCGCAGCGAATTAATTAAGGCTTTGCGCGCCGGACAAAGTAAATGTTTCTCGGCAAGCGAGAGCCGGCCGTTTCAACGGGCTGCCGGGCCCTCCAGGCGGTTTCTATTAGATTCACAAAGAACGGATAAAAAGGCTGCCCTCGCTGTTTGACATNAAAATGATAAGAGCATTTTTGATACTTATTGTTTCCGTAAAAAATCGATTTCTCGTCAATTTGGACTTATGCCAGCTGACGATTAAGCGGCTCATTTGGCCCGAAAAGTCTGGAAGAAGTCATTTTGAAAATTTTACGTAAATTTTTATTGTTTGACGTTCTGGAATGTGCAAGGAACAATGTACTAAACATTGTTTGTTAATGTGTACGTTCATAAATCGATAAACTTGATCCAAGGTCATGAGATTTGATGGCATGCTTTGCCTTTTTAACCATGCTACAAAATATCGTCCATTTATTATTGATATTTTATATATTTTATAAACGTTATGTAATCTTGAGGTCATTTGAAGTAACTTTATCCTTCACAAAAATTTTCTCCGAAGCATCGTTAACGAGTTATTAACGAAAAACAGTTGACCAATGAGAGGCGAGCTCGGCTGGCGCAAGGCTATCGAGCCAACGAGCGGTCGAAGCGCAGTTTCGCTGATTGGCTCGACCGCCTAGCGGTTGACGAGCTCGCCTCTCATTGGTCAGTGTTTTTCGTTAATAACTCGTAAACGAAGCGATGGATTGCATTTTCGCTAAGGAAAAAGTTACTTCAAATCACCTCAGGAATCACCACTTCCAGGGTGTTAACATAATTATGGAAAACCTTCTATATACCATCGATATGCAGTCCGATGTTCACTTTATTCCATGACTCAATTTTAGTGAACCTTGCATTGATTACGAATTCGCATTCACGCGAATTTAAAGCAATTTATTGCAAAATGAAAATTCGAAAAATCCGGTCATTCGACCATCGATTGTATATGTAAAGTTGTTAATACGAATTTGACGCATTTATGACAAAAGTGAACAGGTGAAATTTAAAACAATAATATTATATTGTTTTATTTAATATTATTATATCATTTTTATTATTATTTATTTAATGTTTCCAACTTAACGAAAATGTTAAGAATGATAATAATGCAATTATGGCACAGAATTTTTATTTTCTATAAATATCTCCGAGATGTTAGGTGAATCATACCTTCGTGCAAATTGAAAGACAATCGCGCGGTTCACGCCAATTCAAATTCGACGTGGTGCACGTGAAAAGCAGGGACGCGGTTTTCGTGGATTACGAAGCGAACAAGCAGAATCTCGAAAATTATATCACGCAATTTGTAAACACGAGGCAGACAGGTATTCTCTGAAACGTCATTTAGGACGGCTAAAGCGACCCTTTCTAGTCGAGCTTTTAAGAGTCATTTAGCGATCTTGGTGAGCCGGTAACCCAGATCTCGCTGTCCCACAATTCTGCGGTTTATTATCGCCGTGTGAACGAGTTATTTTACTCCGCGAGAAGGCACTTTTCTTTCTGCTCGATTGGACCGAGGATTCTTTTGTTTTTAGATCGTTTACACGCTGTTGTATCGTTTAAAGAGAAACAAAATCTCGATAAAAGTACATTTAGGTAATTAGGAACATCGGAATATCGTATGGAATATTCTATACGATATCTGTGATTAACAATGGTTTCAATAGTAGTCTTCAGAGTTCGAATATTTTTCAAAGGATCGCCAAATTACAGTAAATTCTCTCCAATTGTCCCTCAGCTTGGAAACGAAAGCGGACAATTTGGAGAGAAAAGATACGATTATTCGAGCTTCGCGTCTCACTTTTATAATCGCCGATTTTATAGTCAACAACTATAAAAACGAGTCTCGAGGCTCAAATAATCGAGTCTCCTCTTCCTAAATTGTCAATTTTTGTTTAAGAGCTGAGGGACAATTGTGGAGAATTTACCATCGCTTCGAACAGATCAACTGTAACCGAGAGCTAGTTTGAACATTGTACAAGCATTTCCACTTCCTTGACAGCCGGCCCATGCTTTACGAGCATAATAGAATTTACTACAGTTATTATTATACTACTTCAGAAGGTAATCCGCGTATACCGCGAGACATAAAACAGCAGAAAAATATCGTATATCAAGCTTTGGAGTGTCGTTGGAAAGAGGAGACTTAAATCTTCGAATTTATGGTAGATCCTGACGAAAATAAAATTTTCCAATGTTTTTTACAGTCGTTTCCAAGCTATGGTTCGTTCATTAAATCCTGGTTTTTTAACGTGAAAAATGTATGAATTTACTTTTGTAGCGGAAAGAAAATATACATCTCATACTAATTGCACAAAGAGAACATGCTACAGTAAATTCTCTGTAATTGACGCTCAGATTGTGCACAAAAATGGATAATTTGGGAAGGGGAGATACGATTATTAGACAGTTATATATATGTCAAGGTTATGTGATGGTTACGTCAAGGTTATGTGAAGGTTATGTGAAGGTTATGTCAAGGTCATGTCAAGGTCAACATATGAAATGGTTGGCAAAGCTAATTTAATAAATAATAATCGTTTTACAGGACGTGAGGGATATGTTTGTTAGAGAAATATAAAGAATATTATCAATAACATTGACATAACCTTGACATGACCTTGACATATCAAGATTTTGTACACCTTGCTTAAAAATTTCACATATGACACACGAGGTGTCATGCACACTAGAAAATTAAAACGGGTCCGAAAAATTGGTAAATATTTTTCAGACGTTCTAAAGTAAAGGTGAACAGCGTTTTTCTTTAAAATATCACTGTTACGTAGTAAAACAAAATCCGGAAAGTTCTCGCTTCGTGATTTGTTCAATACTTCGGAGGCGGTTGGAGTCCGTCCCGACCATCTATTAAAGCCTCGTGCTGCGAGCTCTCGAACTTCGCGCCATCGCCTCTCATTGGTCAGTGTTTTCCGTTGATAACTCGTAAACAAAGCCGCAGATTGCATTTTCGCAAAGGAAAATGTTACTTCAAATGACCTCAGCTACCCCTCATTTTCGGCTGTTAAAATAATTGTGGAACACCCTGTATAGTTCTTACATAGCTATTATTATACAGCTAGTATTATATAGTTATTATATACTTATTATTATATAGTTATTATATAGCCAGTATTATATAGATATTATATACCTATTATTATATAGTTGTTATATAGCTATTATATTATATAGTTATTATCTAGCTATTATTATATAGTTATTATATAGCTAGTAGTATATAGTTATTATATAACTAGTATTATATAGTTATTATATAGCTAGTAGTATATAGTTATTATATAACTAGTATTATATAGTTATTATATAGCTAGAATTATATAGTTATTATCTAGCTATTATTATATAGTTATTATATAGCTATTATTATATTTCGCCAACATTCAAGCAAAATATGTGGAAGCGGTCATTTTGCCCGGCTGGGCAGGTATAACGCTTACGAGCAATAAACCACGGCGCGGACGGATTAAAAATCTGTCGGGTTTAAGGTTCGTAAAGCTGTCAACGAAATCGCAAAAGTCAATTTCGTTCGGGGTCCGTGCACAATGTCTAGATGCCGCGGGTTCCGTCCTTCCGCGCGCGCAGCGTACACGAGGGAAATTGTCCGTTTAGGACACGCGTTCGCCGATAATTCCCGCGTGTTTTACAGCGAGAGGGCAGGTTTATGGTGTTGTAAACCAGTATTACGAGTCGGTTGTCCCGGCGACAACCTCCTTCGCCTTTCGTCTCGGCCGCGTCGACGGAAGAGTATCGCGGCTCGCGATCTTACAAGCCGGGAAAGCTCGAGAGCTCCATTGACGAGCGAGCGAGCGAGCGAAACTGCAACGGAATTTTTCACGTGGAAACGGGACCGGAGGTTCTTGCCGTGCCCGCGCAAAAAGTTTCGCTCTCCGCGGGTTTTATACACTTTTTCGCGTTTCGCCGCGCGGAGCTGACCGG